TAAATCTAATTAGGATTAGATTTTAATGATAATCTGGGAATATTACATTTGCATTGGCTATCCAGTGCATTGATTTACCCACCTGTGTGCTACAACAGTTAAGAGAGGAATTAAAGATCAGTTACCATACGTTATGGTTTTACATTTCCATCAACATTACAGGCCAGATCTTGAAATATACAGTATCCAGTAGTAAAAATACCTAGGCATGTGATTAATTTTAAGCATACTGTATTGTTCCATGAACTTCAATACACAGTGCATATGTTCCCCATTGAAAAGTTATGTTTATGTGGGACTGAGCTATTAATTCCTACAGTAGAAAATTTACCTTTTTCATATAACATACTCATCCACAGTTGCTTCAAATTACATTACAACCATTTCATAAGCCACCTTGAAAACCAAGGCAGATATTTTCTTGCTTAAATTCAAAATGAAGACACAATGTGTATATCCCCCATCTTTTGTTCTCCTCGGCAGTTCCCCACGTAAACTCAAACATACCATTTGTATTTGCAAATCCATTTTTATCCAGTCATATCCATGATTACTTATTTCAGCAGGTTTTTATTATCAGGCAGTGACTGCCCTTCCAATATTTCCAGCAAGACGTGACTAGATAGCTTGGCCTCCCTACTCCCTCCCTTGCTTTGGAAACCCAAAGCTGCTTTTTTCCCCTCCTTATTCTCAACATCTTGGTAGTTCAGTTTCTTCTAAAGATGTTATTCCTCAGATACATCCTTTCCTGAGACTGATCACTTGCTGGACATGATTTTTCTATCATGAAACTCTCCGATGAGATTTCTCCTACACAAACTCCTCAGTAAGGGCATGGCTGTCTACTTCCTTGCAAGTAAGATAAATTCCCCCCAAAAGTGGCATAATCGCAGTGATGCCACTGTCTTACAGACCCATGGTTCAGAGGCGACCACAAAGGAAAATTATATATGGCTTGAGGAAGCTGGGGAAAGATGTGGAGCTATCACTTAATTTGCTTATCACCTATTAGTTCAGTCCAGTCACACATCTAGAAACCGTATCCAAGCTTGTATGCCAGGAATAAGCATGAATTAAGTACCGGGGTCTTAAGCGATGAGCTGCACCAACAGAAGAGTGTCATTTCATCATCACCCAAAACCTGCAAATAAGAACAATCTCAAATCTCCCTATCTTACATTCTGAGGGCACCCACTATCGTAAATGAAAATACCCTGTACATGACAGGGGCAACAGGAGGAGAAAAGAAGGCAGCATATACAATTTTTCTCTCCCAGGAGAGGAATGGAGGAATGTCAAAGAATTGCACAACATAGAAGCCTATCAAGTTAATGTATCCCTACCAGCACTAAATATGGGTGCACTGTTTGAAACCATGAAGCCTCTTTCTTAAGGCAGCACTACAGTGCTTATTTATCAACTGATTGTTTTTGCCAGGTTGATTTTTATCAAGAAGCAAAATCTCTACTTAAAAAATAAACAAAATCACACTCAGAAATGAGTAAACGTATTTTAGACTGCCCTTGGAGAAGCATACAGATTTTTATAAACTTCTGATGGCAAAACACATATCCACTCAAGCCTTCTTAGTAGTGAAACACAAAAGCTAGCAGAACTTCATATCAGCTTCCCAAAAACTGTTTGCTCAGCTGGCAGTGGCTATCCAGGCACCCCCTAAATGCCAGCAATGGAGAAGAAGGAACTGCACAGCGTCACATTTGGTATGTGATTACAGCCACAGGACATGGCACACAATCCTATTGAAGGGATAAGACAGACCAGAATGATGCAACTATTCAGGTAAAACAAATACATTCAGGTGTAAGCAAAGCTCTGCAGCACCTGCGTCTCCTCCAATAGACCAATATTTTTGTTCAACACTTTTCTAGCTTAACTTCTGCCCTATATTCATCTGTGAAGAGAAAGAGACTTCTCAGCCAAATGACAAATTTAAATAAATTATTCTGTTCTGCCCTGAAATGTCAATTTGAAAAAAGAAATACACACATGCTCAGACAGATTTATTTCACAGTGAGAAGGGTGAACTTTCAGACTGTCCAGAGCCCAGTGTCAGCAAAGGTCCTCTGGAAATAACGGGAGCCGTGCATGTCAGAGCCACGCAGGCTGCACCTGCGTTTTACAGTTCTCCTTCATGGTTACATCAATCCTCTTTACTATGTCTGATAAAAGCAGTAAAACAATGGAAATACTTAAAAGATTTACTTATGATTTTAACCTGCTATCTGAATCATGCAGGGATTTCTTGGAAATGATGACTAGATGCTGAAGGATAAATGTAACCTAGGGTTCTCTAGTGGGAGTTTCCATTTCACAGTACAGTTTAATGAAGAGCCCAGTAGCAAATCCCAAGATTTTAACTGAAGGCAAGGAGACTTACTTCTATACATCACATAGACTCCACTTTATGAGCTGCCAGTTTGCATATAGGCAATATAAATCCCCTTGGCTAAACACAGACATTGGAATAAAGTGTCAGCTAACAGTAATTTCATCCTGCAAGTGTTCTTGCCCATACAACCTAATGAAGAAAGATTATTTTAAGATAAGAGCACTGAAAAGGAAGAAAAAAGTGAAAAGGGAAAAAAGAATAAGCACTACAAAGAAATCGCAGTGTTGCACAGAACCAAAACATCCAATTATGCTTTGATCATGGGTTCAATTTTAAATGTTACTGTCATCATTATTTTCTATTGCACAACTTCTTTCAGTGATTACTTGATATCTGTGATGTATGTCAGATGTACAGAAACCAAAGCACGTTATAGGCAGAAGTAGTAGCTTATCTTGCAGCCATAATAAAGCCCATCTCTCAAACATTATTGAGAAGCCTGTCAACAAAGCAAATCAAGCGCAGAGTGGAAATGAGGCATAATGCTTAATTCCCTCAATCAGCATTTTCCTGCTTGCCAGGAGCACCTCTCTTGGGTGGGCTGACAAGGTGCAAGCTAATTTACAGATCCAGGAGGAGTCAACTGCATCCGGATAGCACTGCTCCCACGTTAATTAAGAGGAGTCTGAAAAGTAAAGTTCACTCAGAAATGGTAGTGAGGGAAAAAAATAACTCAAGGAAACGTTGACTGTTACGAAGAGCAAAAAACAAAGCAATCATCAGATCTTCCTATCAGTCAAATTACTGTTGTTTCCAGATTAAAGATTTCAGAAGTGTTATATCGAGCATACAGACAAGGTTACTTCCTATTTAGCTGGGAGCGTCTGATTAAAAATGGTATTAATTTCCACTTTTGCACTCGGTTCCACCTAGAGCTTTCAAAGCCGTGCTGGAACACCGGACATCAGACTCTAAGGCTGGAGGGCAGAGAGGAGCCAGTGAGCCCTGCACCAAGCCAGCTCTCTGGAACATGAAGACTCCTCTCTTTGGATGGAACCCTCGGCAAGTCAGCCCTTTGCCTGAGTACCAAAGCTTGCAAGATGAAGCAGCTATCTTACAGGTCCTCTGAGTGCTGGGAATGTTATGCAAGAGGAAACAGGACTAAGAAGCTGCCCAAGCTTTCTAGACGCTGTAAACACTTTCTGACTGAACTCACAAGACAGCACTCATGGTATCCAATTAGTTACTTACAGTCCACAGAATTTACCATGTATAATTTGCCTTGACTTTGCCTGCTGTAGAAAAATGGCAAAGACTGCAGAAGAAAACCAGTCAACATTTCGTATCTCTAACCTTCCACCCTACCCCAGCGTGGGGTGCAACTCTCAGCTCCGGGCTTGAGTTTAGGCAGGCAAACACCCAGAATACGAGGGCTTCCCCGTGGGACTCGCAGGGCACCAGGCTGAAGTGCTCTCCTCCTGTCTCAAGTGTGCGACTGTCTCCTGTGACTCTCTTGGTATTCTGTGGCATGTGCTAACAACCTGATAGCATTTTGTGTTTTCTAAACACATTTTCTAACTAATATTTTTTAATTAACTAGTTTTTCTATTAGCTAATTTTGTAATACAATTCACAGACACAGAACAACTCTGAAGAACCTATGCTGTTACAACATAGGTTCAATTAATGTGTACCAGGATAAAGAAGGTTACAGGATGAAAGGTAACTGCAGCTCCACTTACAAGTTTTCAGATCAGAATCACTGTTAATAAATCTTTAAACTAATACTGGTATCTCACTTCAAAATTAAATAATGAATCACTTCATATACAAAAGAAAACAAACACTGCCTTAATATTGTTTTTTTCTTGGAAATGTATTTATTTACTCTAGCTAGCTAAAAGAAAGACTGATTTTCTTGCTCCCTCACCCCTTCCCACAAGTGATCAAAGGTGTTTGTCATGTTTCAGCATCTACCCAGAACAGCAGGGTGTCCCTCAGCAGTCTGCTCCTTTCAGATCACTTATGTCTGCTGGAGAGACGACTCCCTTCAAAAAACCTCAGCACTTGGTAAAAATCAGGTATTTCACTGACCCCTTCTCCGGACTGTGGGTTCTCGGAGCACACAACCTTATTTAGATCCTGTTTTCCTTGAGAGAGGCATACTGTTTTTCAATCTCAAAACTGATTCATCTCTTTCACATCATGCCTCTATGATACCAATCAATCTTAATAGTAAAGCAAAGAAAACCACTCATTTAGTAACACTTAAGCTTTGGGTACAGTATTAGAAACAGCACAGTCTAAGAAAAAAACAAAACCCAAAATTGTTTGACCTGTCAAAGGATATATGCACTCCTTAGACACACCAAAGACTCTTTCCAAGACCAAGCAGTTAGTCGCTTAAAACCATTTTCTCCTTTGCGCCCGCTTTAGCTGGCCAGCCATCTCCTTCTCTTCTATTCTGAGCTGCTTCCCTTCCATGACACCACTCGTAGGCTCAAATATTGAGAGATCAGCCTATATACATCATGTATATATTTGTATAGTAAAATACAGCCTCAGCAAACAGTCACAATATAAATGAATAACTAAAAGATGAAATTTCATTTTGTAATTCACTCTCACATTTGATTGCAAAGCACCTTACCTGAACATGTCTCCTAAGCCTTTCAGCATTCCTTTCTTTGCCTTAATTTTATCCTTCTCTTTATCTCGATCTTTCTTCTTTTCCTTTCCAGCTTTTTTTCTGTCACCTTTATCTTGGTTTCCATTCATCTGTCTCTCCAATGAGTGGGATGGCTGGTCACTTGCTGTGGACACAGATTCTCTACCAGATCTTGAGCTCTCCTCTGTGTCTTCCTCCACTGAAAGCACATATTAAGAAACATCAGTGGGATAAGAACAAACAACAAGTGCAGGCTTTTTGGTATATTGCATAACGTATTTTGAAACAGGATATATGCAAACCCACAAAATACTTTTTTTTTTTTTTTTTTTTTTTTTCCAAAATCAGTATCTGCTCATGTGCGGGTTTCCTGGAATGCTCGTTTGTACTATTAAACTCCTAAAAGCAAGAAGCAAGGAATTCACGTCTGCAGAACACTCTGCAAAACATGATGCGTTCTTTGTGGGTACTCTGAATAATGTATGGATTAATTAAGAGGATTAGCAAAGTGATGTTAATTGGCCCATTTTGTTTCCGTACCCAAATCGGTTGAGGAGAGCTTTAGAAGTATCTGCAAGAAGAAACAACGGCAGTGCAGCATGCCCTGTCAGTAAATTCTTAGTAATACTCTCATAAAAATATGAAAGTCATTAAGGACCGTTAACCCTCAATACAAGCCTTAACAGACATTTTCTTCTGCTGCAAGTATCATAAAGGTTTTGTCACACTACTTCATTTCCTGGAGCAGTTTAAAACACATCATGCACCATGATTATTATTCTTGGTTGAGGTGGGGCAGCCTGGGAGGTTTGGGGGGGGAGATTCCATCCAGTGGAACAAGTAAAAACCTTTAAGGGAAGGTAACACATTCCTTCTCCGTTTCTAATCCAAGACCAAGACTCCGAGAATCCTAAAGTAATCCCAAGGTTAGACTTAACAGAGCACATGTATTTCAGAAAGTTTGAAAGAAAAATGACCAAAAGGAATAACGCATTCAAAAACTGAAAACTCCCCCAGTAGCTTAGTGAGAAAGAATTAAAACACTTCAAGCTCGTGGGTCAGAATCCTGCAACCATTTTGACTTAAGTTTTAAGGCCAAGTCCAAAAATTACACTGCATGGCTGGTAAAGCTGTGACCTTCCGGGAGCTCTAACATCTTATATTGTCACGTTTTAAGTAGGACTACACCATCTCCCAGTTTTCTAACAGACAGCACAAAGCAGCAACTGGGATCACAGATGCGTACTTTGCGCTGTCGCTTGTACCTCTAATGAATACAAAGCCTCCAAACAACTTTTGGCAGTAGAAGTTGAAAAATACAGTTTTACTTTATATATACACAGTCTATGGATTTTTTTTTTTTTTTTTTTTTACTCAATAAGATTTGGAAACGGCTATGGCTTATAGAAGGAAAAAAGAATCATTTTTCAGTTTAGCAGATGTTTACTACTACTTACTATTATTCCTACTAATATTATTGTTTCTAGACCTCCATGACTCTTCTACAGCCAATAGAAATGTGTAATTCTTTAGAAATTTCTCATACATAGACTACTGTAGAATATAAACCTTCTATTCTTAGTCATCATTCATATTCACCTTACAAGTAATTCACTGAACCTGAAAAGTCTACAAATCACTGACTGAAAGCCACTCAGTATTGACTCTTCTCTCTTTCAGATACTTGCCTGCAAAATACTGTTTATTCATTAATATTACAATACACAAACCTGTCCAACAGACTTAGTACTTATTCACTGAGTATACCAAGATTTCTATAAATATTCTCCAACCCTGGAAGATCACATAAACATATTTCAAGAAAAACATATCATTTCAGATAAATCTCAACATTAATAACTATTTTTGAATCTCAACTAGTACTCTGAAGTACAAACCATGAAGGAAAAAAAGGGGAAAAAAACCCGACAGGTCTCAGCATTTCTTGTTAACTTGTTTTCAGGACCACTATGAGTTAAGCAGGTGATACAGCTTCTCAATTGTAGGCACAGTTTTAATATTCAGATAATTATATTTTAGAAAATTAATAGGCCTGTCCCATACATGCTCTGTATTAGCTGTACTTGTACATTTTTTGGTCATAGTGTTTCTTAATCAATGTTTGGGATGATACTTAGTTATTATTAAAAGAGTAGTGGAAAACCACTTTGGAATAGAGATGCTAATTTTTTGCATGATAATTTATGGCTACAATCTGTTCCAGTTAAAACCAACTAGACATTTAAAAGACTGTACTTGCAAACGAATATAATTAGGAAAAAAAAAAGCGTTAAATTTCTAACAAATTCTGAACTCAAATGTTTACTTGGTACTTCGTTGCTAGAGTTTTAAAGATGAATCAATTTTGACCTATGGTTGTGCATATTCATATAACAATACATTAAATGAATCCTAAATATGTATTAAGTGTACTGTACTATGCTGAGTTGCTGAACAACTTGTCATAACAATGCTTCCTCTTATTATTTATTCTGCATATTCTATGGAGATAATATTGCCTCCTTTCCACACTTGTGCTGCAATAAATACTTGTCTATCATACACAGTTTGCTTGCAATTAACTCCGTAGCTTAGACTGAGCCCTGTGAACTAGGATGCCTGTTCTCCTGGAGTAAACACTGGTGCCTCTACTGCAGTAAATAGATTTCCAGTTTTCTTAAAAGCACTCTACATGAAGAAACTTGTTTCACTTTCATGCAGCACAGTCATTCTGCAATTAACATACACCTAATTACTAGTGTTTAGAACAAATGCAAATGCTGCTCAATTAAAATTCAAGCCCAGGCTACAAATGAAACTTCTAATTTTTGTTAAGTTGCAGTAATGACATTAGGTTACTGCAAAACGCAGAATGTATTTGTTTTGGTGCTGTTATTTCCTTCATTTCCTGCAACCTCCTGCCTCCCCATTCAGGATGCTGAAGCCAAAAAATTAAATTGGAGTATACTTTAAACATCAATTAAACCTGAAAATTAGTGTCATTTCATGAACCAAACTGTACTAAGGAGAACTACACAAACAGGTATTATGAAGCTGTTCTCCTAATTAGGCCATAAAATGGAAAAGATGCACATGAGGAATCAAAGGTACTTAATGTGAAGCTATTTTGCCACTAAGCTTCTAGGCCTCTTATCATGATACTTAATACAGCCCTAGATTCTAGCAATTAAGATTCAGCAAAAGATTAGAAAGCTTTGTCGATCTCTCCCAATCCAAATGCCTTGTTCTCATTCAAGACATTAAAGATAAACATTTTGCTTCCAGTCAGCTATTTCAAATATTAAGTGGGGGGAGGGAGGGAAGCAGGAAAAATGATCTGCAAAAGCTGATTTCCACAAATGTTACTTCTTTACAGCCATTAAAACTCAAATGCATCTTCTGAAATACTTTTAAAAATGTTGCCCCAGAACTGGTCACTGCTATCTGATTTTCATTTGACATTTAGTAATCTAATAGCACATTGTTCCAAGGACAGCCAGTACATTCAGAAGAGAGTCAGCCCCTTTGCCACATATGCTACCTGTATTTTTATGGCTTTCGTATATGGGGTGATGACATGTTAAGAATGCCTCTATATAATTTACCGCAGTGCTGTTATTTGCTACTCCAAAGAGGGTCACTGTCTGGAAGAAAGAAGCACTCTGAGCACTGAAACATTTGGAGGAGAACGGGGAAAAAATTCAAGTAAGACAAATGGATCTAACCTCAAGGGCAAATTGACCACCAACATGTTTGCCTGGGCTTTATAATGAGAGAAAGCCACATTTAAATTTCAAACAATTATGGAATAATTAAATACAATTAAAAAAAACTTAGGCAGTGTCATTATGGCAGCAGTAAGGCATTAGTTACGTTAGGACCAGATTGTTAAATTAGCTTCTACACATTTGCATGTGCCCAGGCTTTGTCCAGCTGAAGACACCATTTGGTAAATTCTCTGGAACCTGAGGCCACATATAATTTACACAAAGTGGAGCAGACTGCAGTGCTCTCCGTTTTAACACGGATACAGACACGCTTTCAGAAAGACAGAGCTGAGGACCTAGCATTTTGTGCTGCTCCAAGGCAACATATGGCTGGGCCAGCCCTTAAGCTCCCACAGCCACTGTGAGAAGGAGAAGACCTCGAGGACTGAGTTTTGTCCAGCCAACTTACTGTACCTGCTTTGCTACTCACCTGCTTCTATTAACACGGCACTGCAAATTTCTGGATTACTTCTTAGATGTTTTACTATAATATACGGAAGCTATTAAAACACAAGTAACTCAACAGAACGCGCAGTTCTATGCGCATAGCTTGGTCACACTTTTCTCAGCCTTTCTTTACCATGTGAGATTTGAGAACAGCCTCGCTTTTCCTCTCCCGTGACACTAAGATGGCTCTTGGTCCACCAGTGCTAGATGACTGCATCCATACAGAGAGATAAGGGCAAAGACTCACCCCATGGCATTTTGATTTCAGCCAAAAGGCTTTGTCTGGCTTTCACAACTCCCATGCAAAGGATACAAAGGTGACCCAATAATACTTCCTTGCTACTTGCATTGCATCAACAAGCTCAAAACTCCTTACAGTAATCTCATAAACTTATACGCACCTAGAAAGCACTTCATGGCAACAGTTTTGTTATATTTTTGATCAAATGAAGTTAAACCATCTGTAACTTTTGGATAAGCCTTGGATATCTGATGCCTCAAAACAGGATATTACTATCAGTGGACTCACACCAAACAAGGCCTTTTAGAAAAACATGGTCTTATGTCCCAAAAGACCATAGGCACGCAGTCTGGGAGAATGATCAGGATCACTACACATTTTCTCATACCTATTCTTCTACTGACCAGAAATAGATTGACAGCCAGCAGCACCAGACCAGCATTTAGCCTCACTGCTGCGTGAAATTGCTAGGTGCTGGAAAAGCAAAGCAGAATTAATTCCGTCCGTAACCACCTTTGAGAAAAGTGACTGGCAAAATGACCTCCCTTTCAGTCTCAGAACACTTTTAGAAACAGGCAGATTAAAAAAAAAAAAAAAAAAAAAAAAAAGGCAGAGAGTTTTAAAAAAATAAAAGACTGATTACACAAGTAGGTTATAAAAGAATATCAGGGAATGATGCTTATGAAACAGACTTTCTGAAACTAAAAAAAATTTTAAAAGAGCAGAGAGTGAAAAATCTCTTTTCAAGCCCTTTCTGTTAGCATTCAGGCTAAATATTTTACTACTTCAACCTTCCCACCATCATCTTCATTCATAAACTTCTAACTAGCTGTAGGTTGATTAAAAAAAATTCTGCTGGTGTGTGACAAGTTGAAAGTAGTACAACATGAAGGTTAAAAATTCAATGATTTTAATACAACCCCTGATTGAAGTAATTTACCATTCATACTATTTTCATTCAATATGAGTTGTCATTTTACCAGCCCATTCTTACATAGTTCAATAATGATAAGGTTAGCTTTGAAGTGATTCTTTTATGTTAATGACATTCTCCACATGTTGGGTCATACTTCGGGTTAAAGAACTGAAAATGTAAATGAATGCCCATTAGGGTGGGTAATAGCTGATCATTAACTTTATATTTTATTAGATCTGCCAGCCTTACTCACTCTAATTAAAGGACAGTCATTTCTTTTTTTCCCCCCAGACACTACAAATGTACTCTTTCAAAGTTAGGTGCACATATTTTTGTAACATAAATTCAGTGGGTTTTTTGTCTTTCTGCATAATTTTTTTTCTAATTTACATTAGTCAATTAATTAGCTGTCTTACAGAAAATTTTCATAGTAATTTAAGTAAACACACTCCTAATAATCTTATTTCCTTATTTTAGAAAGGAAGGAAGCTGCAGAGTGTTGCAATCTGTTAATGCTATGAAGGGAAAAAGCCTGAAAAAAAATTGATGAAGAGAAGCTAGCTCTATTCTTTTACAATCCTAAAATTATCTTTACTACTTTTAATCACTTTCTAAAGGAATTAACCTATGTTGTCAACATTCTTTGTGTACAGCAATAGTTTACTTACGAGTTTCCATGCCTTCATCATCATCATCTGCTACAGGTTTATCATATGATTTGTCTATGGCAGCTCTGAAGCTTTCATTGCAGCCTCGTCCTCGGATAATTCGTGGGCGCGGGCGGTGGAAGGGAATATCGCCATTCAGAGTCACCTCAGCAACGGCTGTCTGCAGACTTTCTAATGAGCTGGATTTCTTCAGACCTAATGAAGGCCCCACATCTCTGGTTGGGGAACCTTAGTGATTTAGGGAAGGAAAAAAAAAAAACAAAACCGTAATTAGAATTAGTATTGAGAACTGCATGCTTGATTATGCATATCCATCCTGAAAGTCTTTGGGGACACACTTAACATTATTCACATCATCTCTCAATAATCTGTAGGGAATTCTCTGCAGATTTGTTGGTCTCGGAAGTGAATGAGTATGTCAAGTCATAGTCAACGAAACCGACAACGTTAGCAATGTCTGGCTTTTCAAATCAGGGAAGAGAGACCAACATCCATGACTATTATCAGTTTGAATGATAAAGTAATCACGGGGTTTTAAAAACATAGCTCATAAAACCAGCAGAGATACATATCTATCGGCATCAAACAAAACTATTAATTATTTTTGTTCTGAGCCGCATATTTCATCTGCACTAGCAACTGATGAGGAGAGCGGATTATGGGCATGAATCGTACTGTGTTTAGAGTAACAGCCTTGCAAAGTAGCCTGACTTCTGGCTTCAAGGAACATGCTGTTTGTTATTAACCAAGTTTTAAAGACTTGCATCAAATTGCTAACAATTTCGTAATTAAATGCTTCGGAGAAATATCAGTTGGCTTGCTGGGATTTTGTGAAGTTCTTTAAAAATAATCCGTGGAAAGGACCCAATTAGTCAGGCAATACTAGTTATCCAGCTGGAAAAGAAATGCATTCCTGGCAGTCACCAGGTTGATGTTTGGGCAGCACTACAGCTGGGGCTGAGGGCAGCTCTTATTGCTGCAGCATGTCCAGAGGTGTGCCAAGACAGCCCCAGACAGTATTCTGCAAAACCTTTTCCCTATCCAGACTTTTCTTCTCAAGTTTGTGGGCTAAATGTCTACCCTCTGTTTTTAGATACACACATTCACAGTGCAAATCTGCTGACAATTGCACAATTAGATCTCATGTTATAGTTAAAACCGGGAGAAATTTTTCAGGGGAAAAAAATATCACTGTATTTATTTGAAGTTATTTTATTAAAAAATGCAGTCTAGTCTTGGCCAGATTTTCCATAGGATTTGGGGCTGGAAGGCAAGATGAGGTGGGACATCATCATCATAGCCACACTTCCTGAAGTTATGAGACCAGAGCCCTCACCTAGAATATGAAAACCTCACTTTTTCTCTACCCAAAGGGGGCAGAACAGAGAAGAGAGTTGTGGCACCATGGCATTCCCGGGTGGTGGGTTGTTACTCCGTTGATATCACTATCCTCATCTGACAGGGGCACAGAAAGATAAATTTCAAAGCCAGCCAGCATTGAGAGACAGAGCCAAGAACTGAACCTTCAGGAATACCAAACCAATGAACAATACATTTGTAAGCAAGGTCTGGTGTGAATAATGCAATAAAGGAAAATTATCTTTTTAAAGTATTTATCTCAGAATAATACAAAGCTCTGGAGTCGATCCCTATTCCTGTAGATATTAGGAGGGAGAAGAGAGATGGGATCTGTCACTGTTCTTTAACTAAGGTATGTGAAGTTACCTTACCTTGTGGAAAACTACTACTACATGAGTAAAACCAGCTTCTTTCACTATTCAGTACTGGGTGGGGAGGAAGGGGGTTGCTGGACCTACAGAAGGGATGCAGAATAACAGAGTGTTCTCCAGTCTTCTCCATGGCGTTGGTTAACTTGGTATGAGATGGAGGAAGACAGCAAACGCTTTCATTTTCAGCTATTACAGTCTGAGCAATTAGTTAAACTGAAATCCCTCAGATCAAATAAATTCAAACAGCAGCTGTCAAAGTATTCAGCTGACCTAGTGATAAGATGAACTTGTAAATAGAAACAAAACAAAAATCCTCTTTCACAGGTCTACGCAGCTCCTGAGTTTGGTTCCCCCAGCGGTCCAGCGTCCTGCTGGTTGGACCAAGGGGCCAGAAGTAAACACACCCCAACAAATGCAAACTTTTGTCTTGATGAACTCGCATCTCCTAGAAGAAGCCACCCTCACTCACAGCCCATGCGTGCTGGAGGGCCGAGGGTCATGAGGATGGTTGGGGGCACAGCGCAGCTGCTGGGGTGAACAAGAGCAGCCAGCTGGGACAAGGGGGGTTGATGGCTTCCCAGCTGTGCAAACAAACTGCAGTCCAGGTTCACCAAACTTCTGAACATGCGCTGAAGTCTAACGCAAGTATTTTTACATAACACTCTCTTTACCAAGTAAAAGAACTCCAATTTAGACAGTGCCCTATAAAACTAACCACTTTCTAGCATATGCCAAAATTCTGCTACTCCCCTACTAATGCCAGCAGTACACAAGAAATGAGATTTTATTTTGGTTTTTACTTTTCTAGATTGTGTTTTGTTAAAAACAGTCCATGAGACAGGAAAAATGAATGCAACATTTTGAAGGAAAAAAAGAGGAAACGGGACAATCATATATGAACAAGCTGTTTGACAGATTCAATTTCATATACAAAAGGAAAGGGTATCCTCTTACATGGCAACTTACTGTAAACTTCCTTATTCCAGATTCTGCTTTGCAACCTTGAAATGAAATGCTCATATATCTTTTCCTAATTACTGAGTGGCTCTTTTTGTAAACAGTAATTATAAAGAAGGCATTTACGTGCCCATTTATGTTCGTAAAGGACATTAAAAAAATTCCATTTCCTGCCACCCAATACAGATCTTTGTGAGAACTGTATTTAGGTAAGTTGTGCTCTCCCAAAGGAAAAGCCAGATGAGATAAGACCTAATGTTCCTTGAGTACTGTAAAACTAATAACGGATTACAGAAATGATAGGAATACTTATTGAACTTGGGTGGCCATGAAGACAAATGTGGACAGGTTGCAGAATTTGAAAGAGGGAAATGTCCTTTCGCAAGCAAATTAAGCACCGTGATCATAAAGCTATGTATATTTTAATACCTTCACTATATTCTATGGCCACTTCATAGCAAGTCTACTATTTCCAAAATACATAGTTAAGCCTCCCTGTAAATTGAGTGAGTTCAGAATTTATTACGAGAATTCACCACCCAGAAAGTGAGCTGTTTACCCACAATCCAGTGAGAAACAGCAAACTTTCTTCAGAATTGATTCTGTTTAAAATTTATGAGTCACATCAAAACCTTGTTTTCTAAATACAAAAATGTCAGCAGTTTCTTCCAGCCTTTACAGTGCTGGTGGTAATCATCAGAAATGTTATCTGCTCAGAACGAGTTCTACTTCTATTTTGACACCAGAATTTAAAGCAGAAAAAAAGAAGAGAAAAAGATACATCTACCTAAAGCATCTTTGTATGACTGAGGGATAAAAGGGATTCTTTTATCGTTTTAAAAATTTGAAGTTTATCAAAATTTTCCCTTCCAACAATTTCATTAACAAATACCCTCTGAGGTCGATCCATCCCTCTGTACCACAGCAGTCCTCCTACTGCGCCTGCCTGAGGTGCGCAGCCTCCCCGCAGGCTCCGCGCGCTCGCTGAGCCGTAGGGCTCTGCTCTACCCGCCACCCCCCCGACCCTTCTCTCGAGGGCTTTCCAGGGTGCTCACGGCACCCCGCCAAGCACAGCCCCTGCCCACCACACATGCTCACCGCTCCCTACGTCCCCAGCCGGCCAGCCCTGGGGGACAGCGGCCAAACCTTGCGCTCCAGGCCGTGCAAGCACCCTCCCCTCATGCACGAGTGTGCCAGCGACGTCTGCTCTCCCACGGCACAGACAGCCCCCACCACCTAAGTTCACAGCACACAGAGATCCAGCGAGACATTTCATACACGTAGATGACATGAATTGACCAGCCGGGTTAGCTCAGCTGGTTAGAGCACGGTGCTAATAACGCCAAGTTCACAGGTTCAATCCCTGCTCACTGCAGGGGGGTTGGGCTCGATGATCTCTCAAGGTCCCTTCCAACCCAAAGCATTCTATGATTCTATGAAGCCTACGTGTTGCTCCCTGCTCCAAGCCCTTTGTTCTTCCCTTGTGCGGACGCCATTGCAACTCATTGTGCTTCCACTTCTCTCACCTTATGTCAAGTATTTACACGGTGCCACAAATCCGCCTGGGCGATTTGCACAGGCCAAAAGCATGGTGCCAAAGGATATATGATGTTTCTTTCAGTGTTCCCTTCAGTGACTAATTTTAAAGGCTATAAAGTAAATTTTTCATCAGCGCTTTCTTTTAGATGATTTAAAATGACAATTTTGTTTCTTTCTGAAATGTTATTTTTATTAACTCTCAGGTTAAATATTACCAGCAACTGATGCCAAAAACTTCCCTTGATTTGATTAAACCAGTTTTGCAAAGGCACAAAGTCTACTTTCTAAACACTTTCTTAAAGGACCTTAGCAGTGCGTCTATTTATTTACTAACATCTGCTCCATTAGATTTGATAAATTCTTCTATTCCTAGTTCAATTCATACACTAAAAGAATAACATTTTGGCTGGGGAGAGCAGGGGAGGAATAGAACAAGCAACTGCATCAAAAATAGTTTAGTTTTGGTTCCATTTAATAAAACAGTTTATTTAAAAAGCACTGTGTAAAAATAAATAAATAAACAATTTAAATAAATGTTCCTTGATTTTTCTTCTTTCTTTTTAATTTTCACAATATGTACAAGGAAAAATAACCACCTAGAACTATAGTATGCCTGGGACTCAATAAATGAGCCATGCTCAATTGCTACTGAATATACTTCTAACCTCTAGGATGAACTGTAAACACTACAAGGATTAGGCACTTCAAGTGAACTATAGAAAGAAAAATAATTAAAAATCTATTATAGTAACGAGGGCTGGCGAGTTCTACACTCTCCTTTTCAGCCAATACTATGAAGCCCAACTTTGACTGTAACAGAGTTTGTTTTTATTTTTCCTAAAGTAAATATATGCTGAAGTTTTCTGGCTTCTGGAGTTCATTCAAACATAGTTCACCACACATTTTAAGCATTTTTTTTCCTTAGAAACGGACAATTTTTAAGCCAAACTACAGTAAGTGGTCTGTTTAACAACCACATCCATCTTCACTAATGGGAGAAATCCAGTGTTTATACACAAAACTTGGTTAAAAACACACAAGATAAATAAAAGTACAGTAAAAGGTGTTTTTCCTTTTTTCCAGCCACTAAGCTTGCTGCGCAAAGAATATGGAATTGCTTAGTTCAGATGGTTACGGTCATGCTCTTTCACCCAACTTGTCTGACTTGCCTCTTTTTTGGAATTTAATCCAGGTGTTACACATGGAGAAAAACTACACTCAATTAATACCACTCTCTATTGATACCACCAAAACCACTATGCACTTTTAAAACCTAAGCATCGTATTTTACTAAAACACACAGGTTTTACACCATTCTAACTGCATCCCATTCAAATAGGCACGCTAATATGAAAATGAAAAATAATTTACAATGATTTTGAGTTTGATCTGTAACTCCTTTTTATGTGAATAATGCTCAGGAGTGAAGGCAGTTCCTAAGCACTGATTCTTAGCACGACCATTAACACGATTCATACATTCACACCCTAATGGCTTTAATCCTTCAAAACATTCGTGTATTTTAATTTTGTGTACTCGTTCTCAATTTGTAAAGCTGCAAGTCTGTGGCCATATTCTGCAACATTTTAAGTACTAGAAGTACTAGCTGTTTAAATAAAACTTACAATTTTATCACTCGATTACTTACAGCTTTTCAGTATTCCTACTCATGTTGTAAAGTGTGGTTAAACAGAGATGCAGTTATGAATTATTAATTGTAAATTCTGTATGGAATGCCCTACTCCCCAAATCATGCTAAAATACATAGTATTTTTAGGGTAAAAAGGTGAATTGTTCCTAATTAGAGCTAAGTAATGTTACAGTGTCCTCTGGATCTAGCCTAATTAAAACAGCATTCCAAAGGTCAAAAGCTAACTTATATTAATAAAACATAAAGGTTCATAATTGCATGGTGCATTATTTTAATTACTAATAAAAAATATGCTTTGAAAGCTATTTCTCATTATCACTGTGTGAAACATTACGATCGATGGTATGTGGAAAAGATTCTATTTACATATTCTTTTGTTCTCTTACGATGCTCGGGTTTCAGCTCCAAAGGCAAATCAACTTGCACTAATAATCTTCAACTCAACTCACAACATGCATCTGACGACCACTTAAGGCAAAGGTAGCAGTTTTCTAATTAAAATAATTATTTCCAAGCACTGTGTTAGCACTGTAATAGCCAAACATTCGACCCTTCTACATCATCTCTCTGTGCATTAGTTTGAAGCTAGGAGAAGATTTTCCAAGATTTTTCTGAAAGGACAAAAAGTTCAAACAACTGTGAATATTTATGAGTTCAAAGTGTAGAAACAGGTGTCTACGTACCATCATATGTACGACCTGCTTGAATACACTACCCTAGATACTTATCTCCATAGCGAATTTTTCATACAATTTGACTGGCAGTTCTGTAATTGTGGTAAGCTGCTTTGACCAAGGTTTCTATAGCAACAGCCTTACTGTCAATTCTTACCTGTTTTCTGGTCATCCATTGTACTGAGCTTAGTCTCGTCAGCTACTGTTAAAAGGTAAATGTATAACGGTTAGCCCAGTTAGTGCCCATGCCCCACATGCATCCAACATTCCTTCTGTTTTGCATACTGTTTGTTCAAGTTAGGGGACCTTAGCAACGTCATACTTCATGCAAATAAACTGCAACAGTAAGCAAACATTCTGGGTAGAAATGGCGGCAAACTAGTAACCTTCATGCAATGTCAGTCATGTTCACATCACAGGCAGGTACAATATGTTATTTACACGTTAGCACATCACAACTAGTCAAGACAAGTCGATACCACCAACCTTACTGTCCCCTGAGGAAGTTGGTGAATTAGGGCTTGCAGTTAAGATACTCACAATTATGGTAAAGGAGCGAATCGTATTATATTTTATTACTCCAAGTAGGGAATTTTGTGTGTTTAAACAATCAAAACTCACTGTTACTAGAGTCTGCACTTCAGAATCTAAATTCAGTGGCAGAAAAATAGATGGGCTTGTTAGCAAGTACTTATTCTCAGTTGTTTTATCAGTTAAAATTATTATAGTCGATTGCCTGTCTTAGCTGCTGCTATGTTATAGGGCTTCTGATACAAATATTAAAACTTGGGTCTCAAACAGATGTCAGAATAGCCCCATTTTCTAATTCTGAATGAACTCTTAAAAAAAAAATACTCACATCTTTAATATCCTAATCAAAATCCATCTACAAAATGAGAGACTATGAAGGATCTTTAAGGCTAATTGTATTATAATCACGAACTGAGAATAATCCTGTCTATCCAGAACCACAGCATGGTAGAGTTTTACGCAGTTATTCTATATGGAATGGTAAATGCACTTTTCACCTCCATTTTAATAAATACTTTCAATGTTTATGTACAACCGTATATCCAGAGGGCTACGATATTTAAGTGTATGGACATTTACAAGCGCTACGAACAATACACAGGCCACTTGGCCATTCACATTAAGAATACTTTACTTCCCACCAGTAGACATTAAATGCAGTAGTACTGCGCATAAACAATGTGTTTGGAATTACAAAATCTACATACTTACAACATGAAAATCAGGTTCAAATAAAACAATTGAAAAAATATCACTCACTACCTAGATCCATGCTTTTGGATTTTCGTGTTTTAACAAACTCCAACTGACTGGCATCTGAAAATTGCTTTGTACGCTTTTCTGACATGCTCTGGCGTCCAAAACCCTCTCGCTGGAAGGCAAGCACTGGATCAACATCTGGACTAAGAGTGCTGTAGGAAGGGAAAAAAATCATGCGAACATTTATCAAGATCACGCAACCTTTCACTCTGCAGAGAAAAGCATTTATTTAGCACGTGACTTCTACCAACGATAAAGTGCACATTTTTAAAGAAACCATTGCAAGTAGTCAGCTACACACACGATGGATTTGTTTTACTGCATCGAGCAATTCTATTTAAAAAGTATATAAAGAATTTCACTGATGAGCTTTAATGAAAGATATACATATCTGGTGCACTATACATATACTGTCAGAATGTAAAGCCCCAACACAGGAATAATTTGAGGGAGAATAAAAGAGTTCCTTTTTCTTCATGAGAAACAAATACATTTTGTCAATAGCAAACTATCAGATTTTTCTTCATCACAAAATGTTTTTAGTAAAGCATAGATAGAATCTGTCCTTCCTGGAGCCCACAGAATTTTAAGCTTCTTCATTTAAAGACTTTGCATTAAAATTTCTCTCCATATGTGAAATTGTTTGTAAATATTTCACAGCATCTCCTGGTTTTAACCTGGCTATGACAGACAAACATATTTTTACTCCTTACTTTCCTACAGAGCAAGTATTTGCCACAACGCTCCACCACTAAATCCGAAATGGGGGTAACTGGACTGAGTTTTGGTCTCTTCTGCAGGCTTCCTGCATGACCTTGGCTGAGTGAGTCAGGTCTTCAGTGAGCAGTGATCGGCGTTTCACCATGCTCCATCAGAAGCATGCTGAAAATAGTTTTATTAATATTGGTCAAATGTTGGCAGAATCATGAATGCAAGAATGCAGGCAAAATTGGTGTGCAAGCTAAACGCTAGGCTTGCAATGTGTCACCATGGGCACAACCATGTTAAAAACAATAAAAATTAAAAAAAAAAAAAAAGCAAGATTGCTTATTGCTACTAAACAATATGAAAGGAAATTCACACAAAGATCTTCTGACTTCTGGAAAAGGGGTAAGTATTAAAAAGTGCCTGAAGGCAAGCCCAAAGAATTTAGACTTCTACTTCAGCTGGCACAAAAAGAAATCAAAAGCATGAAATACTGGAAAAAAAAAAAGAATAATATTTTGCACCATTGGTATCTATCCTATAGGAAAAAGATCCCTCAAAATTCCCCCTTTGACTGTTGCACTTCAAGGTAAAAAAAGCTAAATCTTTTGTCACTGAGATGTCTAAATAGGCTAAATGCTATTGAAAATATTGTATACATACATGTTACCATTCAGTAATATGTTTCAAAAGAATTATTTTCTACTTTAATGGCTAAGTATAATATACATCTCATACCTAGTAAGAAAAAGGCAAATAGTGCATTTCTGCAGAAACCAACTTATACTCTTAAATTCTGCAACACGTCCATGTTTATGTATGCCATGTACTATAATTTATGGAAGCATCTTTGATCAAGAAACACCTGGGTATTAGGCACAACAGTGAAGAGAGGTAAGAAAAAGTGTCCAACGGCATCAAGTACTATAAAGGATGAAAATCACTATCCGCGTTACCAGGCAGCCTAGAAGAAATTCAGTCCAGTAGTGGCAGATTTACAAATAATAAGATATGTGCACGTGACAAGCACATAATACTTAAGTGAGAGCAGGATCAGAGCTTATATGAATAAAGTCAATGTCAAGTGCCTTTTGACTTTAATGTTTCTGGCTCAGGCTCATAATGTTTTACATTTAATTACTGCAACTATTTCAGAGATGTCTGCACAATTTAGCAATGTTTTGAAGCATATGCTTAAAAGCTCTGATGAATCAGAGCCCGAACTCAAAAATAACTATTTAGTCCTCACACTCACTCCCACAAAATAGGGAAAAAATTATCTCCACATGATAGAAAGATAAAACAGACAAGGCCAATATACACTTCTAGCATTTCCAGCAGCGCAACACGTAGCTGAATAAGAACCACCTAAGTCTGAAAACGTCCGCCGAGTGAGTCAACTGAACTTACAGGGTTTCAACACCTTTCATAATCAGATCATAAATGACTTTCCCAAGGCCACACAGGAGTTTCTGGCTCACTGCTAGTCAGCCCTGTCTCTGAAGGCCAGAAAAATGTGGTATTACTAAGCGAGAGTTTTCTCTAGCAACATCTGCTAACACAGCTCACGTTAGTTAAAGAAGACCGGCTTCATCTTGCCGAACAAAATGTATCCTGTGACACTTTCTTCAAAAAGGGTGAATCTCTAAAACTATTTGTTTTGGCTGTATGCTCCCTTTTTTCATCTGAGCTTGCTTTGATCCGCATATTTAAAGCTTCTAATAAAGCTGAGTATCATTTGGATGTAAACACAGTGTGCACATATATATTCCACTTGAAGTCCTAAGAACAGAGTAAAACTCCAAAGTTAAATAAAACTTGAAAAGGGCACCACAGGTCCCGGAGAGAGCAGTGGGGTCTGGACTCAGCATCAGCAACTGGGAATTCTGGAGATCGGATCCCAGCGTTCCCACTGCCACTGCCTTCAGGGGCTTTCTCTCTGCTTCCCTTATCAGCCCTTATCACACCTACCTTCCACGCACACTTATCAGGGGCATTATTACTCCGTGTTTGCACAGTATCCTGCATTCTAAAGGCACTACTTAGCACCAAAAACTACTTGCCGTCTACCATCACGACATTCCATAGCTTTTTACAGTACAGATATCTGAGCCTTATGTAGAGCCATCAGTTTTCATGTCCTGGTTTATTTCTATTATTAACGACCCAAGAGCGTGTTTCAGTAACTAAGGAGCGGATCACAGGAGTTTGAATGGATGTACATTGCCTAAAAGTATTGAAAAGCCCCCATGAAGATCCATAACTGGAAAAGCCAATGAACACAGAGGAGGAACTAACGCCCCTAAAAATGCCTCATTTTAATATTTTTCAACTACCCTAATAAAAGACAGAAAGTGAATTTAGTGCAAGTCATTAAGCAATGCCAAATGCAATTTACTATATTCTAGCATACTTAACAAATAAGATTTCTGGAATGACAGCTGATCCTTAAAAGAATGTAACCGTCTTTTGACCCTCGATGTTATTAAAGTTCCACTTATTAATCCTGTCTTATTGCCCCTTTGTTTTCATAACATTTTCATCAAGGATTAGGGAGATATTGTGAGGCTGGAAAAGCTTACATTTTCTTCTGTGATTCAGAACAGCTGCCATTCTTGTTTGGATAACCCTTCATCCATATTCTTAGTTTTACCCTTTGTGCCTTCCAGCCAAATCCTACAATGCACCTTCGTTTTACAAGTCTTCCTTCATCCATTAGCAGCAGGAAATTAATGCAACAATCTAATTCTACTGCTATTTACTTTTTTACAAATAGAATACATTAGATAGTAAGGCGCTGCACTGATCTACTCTTTTGATCTACTCTGCAATTGTACCCAAAGACCTTTACAATTTCTTATAAAGACACACTTTTAAAGGTTTTGAGCGTGATCAATTCCACAATATCTAATCCCTATTTTCTTTGCTGTTACTTTCATTTTCAAAGAAGTATATGAATAGCAAGATACGCTGCAGAAGTAAATGTAAAAGCATCTGCAGGTTTCAAATGGGCTCTTACTTTATGCTGTAGGTTTCTGCTCATATTCAGCTAAAAAAATTCCCTCAGCAATAAGCTATTATGTGCAGCCTTGAGTACTATTCTATTTACATGTCTCGGATTCTCAGCTCTAAAAGCTTTTACAAAAGATAGATGGACTCTTCAAGGGCCCAAATTACAGGTATGACTTGTCCAAAAGAAGAGCTGCAACATTAAAAAAAATGCAAATGAGGATGAAAAAAAATTACCTTTTTATACAATCATTAAAACATGCTTAAAATAGAGAACTCAATTCCTGGATGTGAGATGAAATAAACTAATATAAAGCAAAGAAGAAGCTGACAGGTGCATATCAGCTGGCAGGTGCTATTGCCGTTTTATTAAGATACTGCTGACACATTCATAACAGGCTCAAGAGACAAGAAAAATAAGAAAATTCATATACTTCACACCATTTGTGGTAATTATCTAGCTTCAAGAAGTGGCAGTGTACAGGGATGGGCTTTTATTTTGCTATTACTATAGATAATTACAGGACTTGCAAATTAAATCTTAGATCTGTATTAATTGTACTAACTAAGCAATAAACAGTATTTCTTTGCCAGGAACCTAAGCAAGTCAATAATGGAGCTCAATGCATTTCTCATTAAGACTCTAATATTAAAATGGATAAAAGTAATTAGAGAGTCAACCTAAGACTCACAGAAATTATTTTTTACTATAGATTAAACGTATAAAGTAAAGTAACTTTCCACAGTTTTAAATGTGGAAGGATTACATTCCGTATTTTTAAATGTGGAACTATTACAGTACACTGCCGTTGCATGATACTTACAACTCATATAATGATATGAAAGGTATTTCTTCATGCATAATAAAGAAATATTAACTAGTTCTTCTTGCACAGGCATTAACACGGGGACAAAACAAAGCGCTGCCCTTTCCTCTAAGCAGATTTTAAAATTGCTGTAAATTATTAGGAAAATCAAGAAAGTATACAGAAGTATTGAAAGGCTCCTAGATATACACTGGAATATAAGAATAAAATCTTTGTTTTATAGACTTAGAAATATTTACAGTGAGGTTTATAAATTAGAATTTCCAATTGGAATTGTTGTTTCATCTTTCATAAACTCAAGTGTTTAAATTTTGCAAAGTTTTTTATATAAAAGCTAGCTCCGTTGGCAACTAAGTTAATATTAAATCATCAAATTAACACAGCTATATACTGATTTGGTCTTAAAAACAATTAGTAACATTTCCACAAATGGGCTTTGACAGAGCACAAAACTGCAACCAGAAGTAGGAAGTCTAACAAATTATCTGTACAGACTTCCTTCCTGAAACAGGGACAATTACCAGTTTGAAAATAGCGAAATCTAAATGTGATGAAAAAAAAGAACATTAATATTAGCAGCAGCCAAAAATTAAACTAAAGACAAAGATGTATCTGCAGTCATCTCTTTTTTTCCTTCCACGAAACCATGCTCTTACCAGTCTGTTGACTCATTAATTGCAGCTTTAGCCCATCCACCAGCATCAACAGTGCCAAACCCAACATCATCGTGGGAACTGGACGACGACTGGTCAGACAGATGAGGAGGCAGTACCGAGAGCCTATCATCTTCGATAATGACAGTGTCATCTTGGGGCATGTTCACTGTTGGAGACAGCTGATATTTACCTGAACAATAAAAGGGAGAAAAACCCCAAAAACTAAATAATGGCAGGAAGTGCCTTGAATAATATATGATCACAGCTGATAAAATGTCATGTCAAACTGCAATGCTACTGATAAGAGCGACACAACACAGATAACAAAATTAACTATGTCTCACTTTATACGCATCTTCCCATGCAGAGGTCTGAAAAGTAATATACACCAGTTGTATCTGTGGCCTCCTGCAAGAAGATCACAGAATCACAGACGAGTTGAAGTTGGAAGGAACCTCTCATTTGGTCCAACCCTGCCCTGCTCAAGCAGGGACACCTACAGCCAGTTGCCCAGGACCCTGACCAAATGGCTTTTGAATATTTCTGCTCCACCACATCCCTGGGCAACTTGTGCCAGTGCTTGCTCACCCTCACAGTGAAAAAGTGTTTCCTGATGTTCAGAGGGAACCTCCTGTGTTTCCATCTGTGCCCACTGCCTCAGGTCCTGTCACCGGGAACCACTGAAAAGCACCTGTCCCAGAAGGTAGTATCTTCTCTTGCATCAAATCGTTTGGTAGAAACGAAGAATGAGTTCAACAGGGACTAACGGAGCGCATCACTCCTGATCAATCATGCCCTCATGAAATTTGAGACTTGTTTGACTGCTATTGGGAACCTGGAAATCTTTAATAATGCCTCCACAAAAGTAAGAATTGTGAAAGGTGGTGAGAACTCATGGTTAAAGCTAAATGATTCCAGATTTTCATTCTCTTCTTTAAAAAATAATCTGGAGGCACACATGCAGGATTTGCAAAAAAAATTTACCTAATTCTAGTACCACCAAATTCAAGTAAGTTTTAACACTGTTGTTAAAATGCTTAAACTAGAGCCATCACATATATGAGAGAGACATAATAAAGACTCAACATTATTCTTTGTTCAGTAGCAGACTTCATTGGGTTAATTTGTGAGGGTAGCAGTTAAAAGAGGATGTTTAGAGGATTCTTACAAACTAGTAAAACACTGTTTCCAAGTAAAAACCAGTTTTAATGTGCATATAAATATTATAAACCCACTACCACTGCTGCTTTTATAGGGACAAATATACACACATAATTATATTTTCCAGTAATCATTTCAATGCATAAGATTGTATAACAATTTTCAAACTGCTGTATAAAAAGCAGAAGCAACTTTTAAACCTACAGAAAACTCTACGCCACCAAAACAGACTAAAAAGCTATAAAGAATATCAGAAGGAATATTTTCATTGCAATGCCTTGTAACATAACTATGGTTTAAACTGAATAAATCTATTTTTCAGGATGCTTGCATGAGATAGAGAGTTGGGAGGATGGGGGTTATATAATATTTGGATGACAGTAGGAATATAGAATTATCACCATTTAAAATTGTAACTTGGAATAAACAGAAGTTATTTCAGTATCTGGAAACACTAAGCTAAAACTTGCTCTGAGGAAAACAAAGATTTGCAAATTATTTAGTTATCTGAGGCAGTGGCTAATTATTAAGTGTGATTCTTTCATATTAGCTGCACATAATTTTTTATGTGATAGAGTATCTTTAAAAATATTTTTTCCTCCTGGATATTTATGATTGACTTAAAAAGATCTGTCATTTAAAATGTTTACTACATGCAACATTATTTCTAATGAATGATCATGACGTTACATGAATTTTGTTCCTGGAAATGTATTATCTTACTAAAACGATTAGTAGAATTGTCACATCTCATGAGAAGAAAAGCACTAGCTTAATCAACCATTAATCTGACAACAAACTGTAAATTATTCTAAAACTATGATGCACCGCAGTAATAACATATAGCAAAACTTTTATTTCCACAACATAAACTGCTTCTATGGACTCATCAAATATTTTCACATTTTATTTTTCCTACAGATATGGAAAAATTGTGTAGAATTAGGAGGAAAGAATATTTTCCTCTTTTCTGGACAGGTTTCAGTTAGCATCGCTACCTTTGCACGCAATTATTAAAAAACAAATACGCAAATAAAACCTTCTGCGTAAAGAGCTAGCTGAAATCATTGCTGCACTAGATAATACATTTTGTATAGCTTTCCAAAGCGGGGGAAACTGGTTTCAAAAGAAATCATTGAAGAAGGCTGAAGAAGTGGCTGGAAGAAAAAGGTACTGCGTGGTGAACATCTCATCACTGTCAAACTGAAATGAATGTGTTCAGTTTGCATAACAGCTGATTCTTTGCCCAGCAATAGCTTCTATGATGGACAGGTTAACGTTTAGCCTGGCAATGTACTTCTTTCCAAACATAATGCCTACAAGACTGTTAACTCTGTAGTTAATAACGTCTCCAAAGAATTGATTGTGAAAAGGTATAACCTTATGGCATTCGGCAGATTGAACTTCCCATTTGAGAGGCTACAGTAATTCAGTAACATTTTTTAACTTTTCACTACCCTTCTTTATATCTGACAAGGGTGAAGACTGACATTTTAATAGTTGCTTTGGAATTAAGGAGAAAACCCATCTGACATGCCTACGCTTTTCACTGCAGATGAAGCTAAAAACAGGTGAAAGGCTTCACCTCCAGCAGATGGTTAGACAGACCTCAGCAATGGACTCAATCTGTCCTTTGTAGAGAGCTCAGCTGAAGTGGACAGAAAATACCCTTGGAGAAAGAAATTCTGCAAGTGTTGCGAGAAACATTACAAGGGAACATCAAAGAAACTTCAAACCTAGTAATCATCAGTATATTCGACTGATCTACAAATCTGAGACATTGCTCGAGCTGCCTACAAACTTCTCCAAGACAATAATTTTCCCTCGGGCTAGAAAAGTGCTATAAAATTTAGACTCTGAATACACTTCAAGTCCAGTTTTGCATGTGTTAATTCAACTTCAGCAAGGTAATCTGTAATAATATGTAGTATTTTGGACCGTGTAATAAGGAAGGGAAAACATTCTCCCTTTCAAGTGTGTCTCACAATGACGCTCAAATTTCTTGAACAAGTTACCAATCTAAACAAGCGTAGTGTGAGGACAATACCAAACTATGGGGTAAGAAGGGTTCCCATCTGTCTGTGCAGAAAAAGAAGTCTCAGAGCTCCAGTACCAAATGGCTGGTCCCCAGGTCTATGAGGACTTTCAGCTTAGAAGGAAAAATGCCAAACAGCAACACTTCAAACCTATAATAGTATAGACCTATGATAGGCCAGAAAATAGTTTGGACCTGAATTAAACTGCCAACATAAAGCGCTGAAAAAAACCCCCGAGCATACACAGTACATAAAATGAACAACAGGCTTGCTCATGAAGAACCCAGCTACTCCAGGTCCTTTCAAATCTTGAAAATCCCTGAAGTTTCGTTACCCTGTTTGCTGTAATAACTTGGCTCCCGTACTACACTGCCTTCTCACGGTACTGTATCTGGCGTGGTTCTTGTGCTTTTGCTATTGCTTTTCTTTAAAGAAAGGTCTAAGAAATCTGTTGAACACCTTGCGATATGTTCAAAACCAAGAATCACTTTATGAGTGACTCTCGTAAACATTTTGATATCACGGGATTCAGACCAATGGTACACTTCAAGCCTCTCCCACAAGCAGAGGGCCTTTCTTGCTCTGACATGGCAAGTGATTGCTAACCTGCCTGGCCAAGAAATCAGCAACAGCTACTCTGTGATGAATAATGAAGTATTAACCAAAGTAATAAATAGAGTAATAAATAAAAGAAATAACAACAAAAGCAAATAGTGTTGATGCTGATAATAATAGTGATGAGACTTCCTACAGGAGGGATACAGAGAATTGGGCAATGAGAAATTAGAAATTCTCCAGATCTTAATTTATCTATTTTTCACTAACAGCATATTTGTCCCAGCAATATACTGAGTTTTGGCAAAATTTCCCATAGATACTCACATCATCTAATTTTCCAAGCTAAATAGAGGTGGGATTGGGAATACATGTGTGGGGAATGTTTAAGGACAAAAATATCTCCACTATACCCAGGCTTTGGATCTCAAGAGGGTGCTCAGATCTGTCGAGACTATTGTAGCAGACCACCACATGCTGATGAGATTCCTGGCTGGGGAACTGCATTCTGCTTGTAAAGGGTTATTTTCATTTCATTGACACACACACTCTACAACTCTAGCTAATTTTTTTTCATTAGTGCTTCCTCCCGATTCTATCCTTAAGATAGCAATTATTTATGCAGAGAACAAAGTATTTCCTGTTGTGTAGGAACTATCAAATTTTACAAAGTTCTGGGGGATCCCTCAGGATGAAAAGCAGATTCAGTGCAAGCTATTGTTATTCTGTGTACCCCCGATAAATAACTTCTATTTAGTCACCGTTAGCAACAAAACCCACCATGTTCATAAAGAAAATATCAGCAACTAGATGAAAGAGACGGAAGAGAACTTTGTACTAAGCTGTTTGTTGAATAAGAATAATTTATATAGACAGCAGCTATGTATTTGTGTATTGCAAAACTCAGGAGCATGATGGATGATATACAAGAACGGTGTAACAGAAGACGACTTGAATTTTTAATCATAGAGCCAAGCAGACCAGCAGAACACAGTTGTTACTTTGAATGTACTAACAACATGCAACCTGAAAATAGTAAAACTAAATAAACAAACTTAAGGGTTTATTATAGCCATCTAATTCTTAGAAGACCCAATTTGTATAAATAAAAAAATGCCTTATCAAAACAAAAATATCATTCCCTGAATACAAAAAGCAGTATCTCCTCTCCATCAGAAATTTTCGGTGAAATATTATCAAGTGAAAAAGCATAAGAAAATCTTTAATAGCAATATTCATCTAGAAAAGTAAATCAACGTAAGAATCATCAGAAACTTTAAAAGATTTATTTAGCCTTTTTGCAGTAAGCAAACATTACTTTACATAATTTAGATCACATTCTAAAATTGGAATTTTATTCCCACTCTCACAGCAAGGCTCTGACAACCAGTTCTTGCTGTCAGTTATGGATGAAAGAGTAAGGAAATTGTCTTAAATACCTTTCCTGAAAATTACATTAGCTGTATTTAAAAGAAACAAAACTCTCTTAAAAGTTTTGTTCCAGCTTTAAGCGATGACTGAAAAGAGCAGGCATTTTCCAGACCTCAAGATTATCACTTTCGAATAGTCTGAGGAAAGAAGAAAACTCAAAATCCACCAATTTTACCCAATAGCAAAGGAAGCAGAAAGACCTGCTCCTTCACACATGAAATCAAACCGTGACCTCCTCACCACAAGGTACCGAGACTACTAAAAGTTTACATAGTTAAATCCGCTGAGGGGTAAATAAAAAGACATGGGGTGATTCAGAGAGCCCGTAAGTCAGAGGGCTGCTCGATATGGGAGAGCACTCGAGGGGATCAGCACTGCACAGAGCACTCCTTTTGGCTTGGTTTCACCACCAGGACTGGCATGGCAAGTACAGACCTCCAGTCTTCCTCTGCCAGACTGTTCTTAGCACTAACCCTCGCTTTTAGGCTGATTTTCAAGAGAGGAGGAAAACTCTGGAAGAGTCATGTAACACTACATATACATTCTCAAGAAAATAAAAAAGTACTGAGTTTTTTCTCATTATCAACGCTAATAGGACAGGAATTCCACTGCATAATAAATGATTGAGTCTTACAAATGGTAGCTACTCTGAAACAAGCAACTGTACCTATCTCTCCAAACAGGTAGTAATACCCCTCTGTTGTATGGCACTGCAAGAAAACAGGCATGCAATAATTACACCACAACAGGTTATAAACACTGCAGTTTTAACTTAGTGATACTGATTAATTCAGAAAAATTAGCATATTAGAAAAATGACTGCTACCTAAAAACTGGGTTTAAACATGACAGCTCTGTGAAGCTGCTCTGCCTGCAGAAGGGAATGACCCAGCCCTGGCTAGACCACTTTTCAGTTACGCTGGACTAGATCGCATTTACTGGGAGGTTCAGGCACAATTTGGTTTTCTATGTGCTTCCAACTAAAGCATCAATGGATTTAAGTCACAAACAAACAATTTTCTACACAGTTCCTGGTTTGCGAAAACAATACACAAAAAAGACGATTCAGAGGAAATCAAAACATCAACTTCAGGTTATAAAACAATTAAAGAATGCAGGATGGATTTTTTTTCCCTTGTGTCTACATTGCAGAGGTATCGAAAAGCATTAGAATTTAGGAGCTTTGGGAAGATTTTTTTTTCTTTTGTTGAAACATCAGTTACCAGCTACTGCTAAAGGGCTGATACCAGACTGATGACCCCTAGTTCGATTTGGCACGGCAAGTCCTCCGTTCCTTTGATGTGGGAGCAAACTGCATTGGTGACACACATGCGCACAGACTCTCTCAGGGTTTCTTCTCCCATCACTGGACAAGGTGTTTAAGCGATAACTCGTTAACACTTATGAGAGCTCTATGTATAAATCCTCTGCAACACTGATGGAAAAAGCAGAAGGTAGTGCTTTGCAAAATGTTTTATCTAAAGCCGTGACACCACAAGAACTAGTCCCTTCGATGGGAGAGCAGTATTAAAGACCTCAAATTATTTTATCACTCCTTAAATTTGGCAACAAATAAATAGTTTTTTTAAAATTGTTCTCTTTAGGAGCATGTGACTTGGGGTAGAAAGGTTTCATGCTTCCTTGATTCTCAGGTATACAATTTTTCTCCTGAGCTGCACAAAATGTAATGCAGTAGAACAGAATACAACTAATTACTGTTGCCCAAATGCACAAAAAAAAAAAAAGACAAAAGACTTAACTGAAGAAATACCTGAAATAGCAAATTTGTGGATTTTCAGAGAGCTTACCAACAGTGTTATTCTGCTACCACAAAGAAAAAGCAAACCCCAAAATACAAAAATAAAAAAAAAAAACCCAACAACCCCAAAACAGAGTGAAATATATATACATACTGTTGACTGGAAAAAGCCTAAGTGGTAGACTTTAATTTTCTAAGGCTGAAAATCAATCTGAAGCAATTAAAAACTAAGTTCAGCCTTGCTTCATATCAAGTTTATAGCAGCATCTTCTAATATATTCTCTGTGTGTCAAGCACACTAAAAAAAGTCCCAGATTGAATGGCCACGTCTTATGTTTAAAACAAGCACGCAATCGTCGCGTCTTCTGTCAGGTGCTATTTTCATCAAGCTGCTTTTTGTGTTTAAATTTGAAAATCCTTTCAAACTGATCCCATCCTAGTCAGTAAATCCAACCATTCCTGTGGCAAGGCAAGTCTTTATTACCTAGCTCTGTACGTCGTAAGCTGAACTGCTGCAGAGCAACCACTAATAACATCATTACCCACTGGGACCATGCAGATGGTATGGTACAGAAACTACACAAGGGATGCTTAAAATTAGTTATGAGGTTTTAAAATTGGTGTCCTGCAAAGCAAAAATTCAAACAAATTAATGAAATGCCCTAATAAGCATAAATGGATGCAAGTTTGCCTTATTTTTGTACTTTAGCATGACTGAAACAGAGAAGAAATGCTGAAATGAATTATAAACTCCCATGAGTCACTGACTTCCATGCGAATAAAGACTCAACACAGAGACTAGACCAACCAATAATTTATTGTCCTAGGTCAGACACTGAAAAACTATGTTAAATGCTCCTGTTGTTTGTGCTATTACCTGCCACGGGATACGAAATTCACTTTATAATTCCATTTGCCTCACTTCCTCACATTAACTATCCAGAAGGCTCGCGTGGAACAATTTTAAGGCACGTTTTAAGTTGGTTGGTGCAACCTCCGTGTTCCCCGATTCCCACATAATACACTAATCGCCCTTTGATGAATCACAGAGAGGAATAAAGCACGCCCCGATTAGCAGAGCTGATTTGACTTACCCATTATCCTGCTCAGCGCCGCGTTCCTGGTGGGTGACTCGCTGAGACCCTCGATCCCGCCATAGAGGGAGTGGGAAATCCTCCGTTCCCGGTCGTCCAGCAGAGTCTCTATGGGCAGCTCTGGCCCAGAGGGGCTCCCAGGTGACTCCAACTGCACAGAGAGAGGAAAATTAGCACCCGGGGTCCATTTAGCAGCATGGGCGAACTGTAACAACTTGCCTAAGGCCTAGACCTGTCGGGGCGCCGAATGAGCTAGAACTTCTCACCCTGGACAAATATAATCTGCAATGACAGTTCTGCTTAATGACCAACTTTCTAAGCCACTTACGCTGCACCTCCCATGGTGCCCTGTCAAATTTCAAATCCTTCAGCAGAAAATTGGTGAAGAAAAAAAAAAAACAACATTGCATTTTTGTGTCTCCTTGTTGGATAATTTCTTAAACAGACAGTTGGGGCTTTTTTTCAATACTATCGGGCAGACAGCTGGGCCATCTTTCCCACACTGACAGCCTGTCAGAACAAGGCCCCTGTCAGGAGCGCGGGGCAGGAACTCCATTTGGAATTGGGCTGCTGGTGCTTTTTGAAGTGGTGCAATTTGCTTTCAGAAGTAATCACGACGGAAACCCCCAGGAAACCCCACCACGCATATTAGTAACCAATACACAAACACTCAAGTGTTTTGCAGTTAGGCGGGAAAGAAAAAAAAAAAAAGAAGTCAGACTTTACGTAACTTTTATTTTTATTTTTTTTCTATAACGAGTTCTTTGCTCTCCCTTTCCTGGCTGCAGGGTACAGAGACCTCGTCTGCTTCGTTCAGTCTGGAAGCTTCCCTGTTCCCTGGCACTGCTGCAGCATCCAGGCAGAGCCACAACACCCAGCACTGGCAAGACCCGAGGTGCCCCCCGCTCCAGCCCTCAACCCCCGGAGCTGCCGGGTCCCTGCCCACCATGACTCCGGCCAGATCTCCCTGGGGCATTACAAGACAGATGAAGTAGGTGGCGGAAGAAGCGATGGAGATGGGCTGCCTGGCCACGTGCACGCAGGAGAAGACTGCATGTACGGTGGCCTCCGCAACCCAGCTGCTCTCCATCAGAAGGCTCCCCTGGGCGACTTCCCACCTCAGCCTTTGTTTGCAGAGGCTGGTCATCCCTTGTTTTCCTACATACGCCTCTCAGATTTTTTCAAAAAGAAAGAAAAAAGTTGAGTTTTCCTCAGCGAGCCCTGGAGAATCAGAGCTCAGTGGAAAGCACCACCCATGCGAGGCAAAGAAAGAAAACCATTTGATATCGTCTAGCTGGGTTTAGCCACGGGCAGCTCCACTGCTGCTGCCAACACAGCCCCTGGGGCGAGGAGAATGAGTGCCCCTGTGCTCACCGGTCAGTCTGGATGCCCAATTTGTCAGTGCCCAGTTGCTCACTGCAGAGACAAGAGACTCCCCACGCTGTCACCCAGCCCTGGCACCATCCAGCCTTCCTACCCCTAAAGCTCTTGGGTCACCTGAGCTCTAGCACCCTACTGGTATTCGGTAATGCTACCAAAGGAGCTTCGCCGAGACCATTAAACCAATTCACCTCAACAGCGTGAACTGAATCCAGCTCCATTAAAAAAAATAAACAAAAATTAAAAAATAGATGCGTTTTGCAGGGTAATGGTGTGAACTCACACATCAAAGCATTAGCTGTTCTCACCAACACGCCTCTTCATATTGAAGTGCATAGTTAAATCTCAAGAACAATGTCCTTGCAGAAATCCTATGGCACCTATTTAATATGTATTGAAATACAGCAGGGACCAGATACTGCAAGATACTGAGCACACTGCAAACTCTTTGAAGCCACTGGGAACCGGGAATGCTTATTCCACAGGACCGGTCTCTAAACGAGCACGAGAGCAGTGTTCATAGTTTCAGGAATTACAATAACAAGCAACATATTTGTTGGTTGTTTTTTCTTTAAATAGCTGCCCATCATTAATCACTCCACCCGCAATCCCCAGATGACTAAAACATGTACGCTACGAAAGATTTTAAAAAATCTGCTTCAAGGACTACAAAGCACTCAGTTGCAGTCTCCACAGCAGAGGCTTTGAAGTCAGCCTGATGGACTAACAACTTCTGACATTTGGGCGCTGGTGTAACGCCCGGTACACGGAGGGGTGGAGGTTTGCCTAACGCTGCATTACAAAGTCGAGGAGACCACGATCTGGAGGTTGCAGAGTCTGTAGAAATTATTATTTCTGTTCAAAGCCATCATCTGTTTAATATAAATGAGATATTTAATGAAGTTCCAAATTGTAGACTTATCTCTCCCAGTTTGATAAGCACTGGGGAGATTTACTGCATCGGAGGGTCAACACAATTACAATTGGAGGCACGTCAAGCTGCAGGAGAATAATAAACTTGCAGTGCAAGTGAATTAGACTCAATAAGGTTTAAATTGTGAAATGAGGATTTGTTTTATTAGTTTTTTTAAATTGCAGATTACAACTGACAGCTTTACTGAAAAGTAAATTAAACAATATTTGTAGCCTCTGTTATAAAGGAATCTACGGCAAATTCAAAAAGAATAGAAATGTTAAATTCGGAAACACTGTAAGCAAAAAAAGCACAGCAACATTAGACTGCTTGAGAGCTTAAACTTGTATGATAAAGGCATTAAATGATAAACAAACCTTTATTTCACTGCCTTTAAATAAGGTGTGAAAATATCAAAGTGCTTTGGGATTTATTCTCCCAGTGCTATATTGATGACTTTATGTAACAAGTGTCCAGCTTTTAGTGAGCCATATCACACAGTCCTTCTTCATGTGACAACCCATCAACTTTCAAACTCATTTGTAGGAAGGTCTCAAGAGATTTTCAGGAAGATACTGACAAACAGAAAGCTCTGAATCAGAGAAATACATAGGAATTCACTCCTAGTAATGCAGTAAAGTACAGGGTAAATAAAAGAAATAGCCGGAGTGCTGTGTTTTGATGTCTGTGTTTTGTAAAATGAATCATTTAATTTATCATTTTCATGGGGAAAACTTTCATTTCTAATTAGCATCTCAAAAGATGGGTTTGAACAAAGGCATCAATAGCCAGCTACACAAATATTTTACAGAAGATACAATGCCGTTTATAAAATAGCAAAAATTAGACAGGAATTACACAACTGGCTTTCACACAAAAAAAAGTCTTTTCCTTACATTGTTAACAGAAAGTTTGTGTAAGAAAAAATACATTGAATTTGGAAACTGCTGTGGGCAAGACAAAGAGACCAACAGTCCAAAGCAAGATTGCAGTGCAAATAGAGACTTGCTCTTCCTGATGCATTTCTAATAAAGAGCTTGAATTACACATTCCAGTTCCTTCCCTTAGCCGATATCAGTGCTATCTGGTATGATTTAATTTAATTAACTGATAACGAGTAGGTAATATAAACAAAGATGTATGAATTCCTGACCGTCATTAAAGGCCTGGCAAGGAAAGCAAGATAGGCAGCAACTGGCCCCTATAACTTCGTATCAATTGCCCCTAGCAGGAGCACTTCTTGGTGTGACAGTTCAGAGTCACGGACTGGTTGAGGTTGGATGGAACCACTGGAGATTATCTAGTCCAACCTCTTGCTCAAAGCAAGGTCAGCAAGAGCAGGTTGCCCAGTGTCTTGTCCAGTTGGGTTTTGAACACCTCCAAGGACAGAGACTCCACAAACACTCTGGGCAACCTGTACCAGTGGTTGACCACCCTCTCAGAATTTCTTGTACTTCAGTTTGTGCCCCTTGCTTCTTCTCCTGGCACTGGGCAGCCCTGAGAAGAGTCTGGATCAGTCTTCTTTATTCCCCCCATCAGGTATTTATAGACACTGGTAAGATCGTCCTGAGCCTTCTCTTCTCCAGGCTGAAAAGAGACGAGTTCCCTCTCTGGGTCCTAGCACTGATCTATAATAAATGATCATATTCATAAAAATGCATGACAACCTCACATGCTACAGATTGCCTGTGGCTCCTTTTCTCTCCATTCTCTTAAAACAAAAATGGAAATAAGATTTTTCTTTTTCTTAAATAAAAAAAGGTCTTTACCCTGGCCCTTTGTCATTCAGATAAGAACCAGCTGTTTGCTAAAGCACTGTCTGTACTAACTAGCCCAGCTGCTGCTTATCTAGATGATAAAAGGACAACTAATGCGGTCCTTTTTACTTAAACACCACCATCCATCCTATCTGAAGTTATGCACATAAATATGAAAAAAGTTTATGCACAAGAACATTGCCAAAATATTCAAAGCATAAACAAACTTTTTTTTAAAAAAAGAAACAATAATCAGACTCCCTTTTTCTTTCAGAAAGTAAATTATCCAAATACTGGCACCCAAGTATTATGGATTTTAGAGAAGTCAGTATACAAATATTCTATATACTACACTGCATCCACGGTACTGAAGTTCTTTCTGTCACACAGAATTATTCTCCAGGCTTTCTTTTTCCTTTCTTATCTGTGTACTGTGGCTAAGATGTCCAAAATCCTTCAGCTTCCTTTTTCAACAGAGACACTTTTACAATACTACTACCAATATTAAATATGGTTTTCTCCGTTACCACCTAAGCTGGGATCCTGCTTCAGGGACAGACTTTGCAAGACACAAAAATGTGGGTAAACAGCCAGTAAAAGGGTGAGGTTTGACTTCCATGCACAATCATGCACTAATAAATATAAAATTCATACAGTGTTTCTAAGAAATACCGCATTCTTGTTCTGACAATGTTAAAAGGCAAGCAGAAGACAAAAAATGCTTTCAGAACAGCAGGAAGGAACCCACACAGCTTTGCAAAATGTAGTTAGATGGTAGGTTATGGGGCATGGGGAGGAACCTGGGCCAAGATGGAGCTTTTAAGTTGATACCAAGGATAGAAAACAGATAAAGGAGAAAAAAGCAAGTCAAAATAAATGGGGAGAGGTAGAAGGGCAGAACAGAAGACAGAAGATACTACAAAACAGAAAAACATGTACATACTTTCCCAACAACTAACTTTTAAAAATATTTCTTGGGATGTTTACTATTAGAAGTTTACTTAAGTACACTGACAACTGTGCAGCAAAAAGACCACCAGAGGCCTAACAGGAGACTATTAACAAGGTCTGTATTAGAAGCTCAGGTAAAATGTGCTGCAA